TCTATTACTCCTTTTCTAATCAGTCCCTGCTGTAAAATCCAGCTTAAACCAGGCCTGGTCAAGCTGGTTTAAGCTGGATTTGGCTGGTAATTTTCCAGCCTGACCAGCTAAGACCAGGCTGGAAATGGCTGGAAACCTGCTTGGAAATGGCCAAAACCCCTCTAAAACCAGGCTGGTCAACCAGCTAAAACCAGTCAACCAGCCTAGGCTGGTTTAAGCTGGATTTTTCAGCAGGGGTTTTAAATGCCACCTAGTAATGTTTGGAAAGAGAAGCAATTGCAATACCCTTTTAGAATCACTGTTTGTCATTTGGCCAGTGTTTGTTTTTGTCTATTATGGGATCACAACAGCAGCATACACGTAGTAAACACTAGAGGGTGTGAGTTTGCATGAGAGTGGTCCCGCTGTTCACTGGTTTTGCTTCTGGAATCAGTATAGCTGTTTCAAATGGTCTCCTAATTCCTTCCTGCTCCAGGAGACAAAACTCCTAGATGCATTTGCATCAAGTGAATTTAAATGTGTGTAAAGTCCCATCACTTTGTTCTGAAGACTTTCAGCCAGCAATTTCTCATAGGGCGCCAGTCTGTTCTCTGCGTTCTTGGAATTGAGAAACAGCCAGTATTTAGCACAGGCAAACAAAATTAGTTATTAAATCTATTGTTTAAAAATCTGGGGTGTCAAGTTCCCTTAGGGCCGCAGAAGAGGCGTGATTAAACAAAATGATTAGACATTAAAACAGTGAGCGATCGCTCCGTATTTAAAATGTCTGTACTGAAAGGTTACATGTTGATCTTTTATTGGTCTTACACAATTATGCAATAATTAATAATGATGCAATTATGCAGGTAGATTTACCATGCTTTAACTTTGCAATTTAATTTAGTGAGTAAATTAAATAACCAAATTATTAGGGTGGATTCAGTGATTTAAGGGTTCTAAGCAATTTTTTTAAAACAAAACTTTTGAAATGATTTGTGTTCTTAAAATTAAAATGAACTAAAAATTTTAAATCAATGTTTCGTTTTTAAAACTAAATTACTGATTTGACTGCTGGACTGGTCCATGATTAAGGGTGGGGGACACATTTGCTCAGATGTAATAGTTATATTCAAATTAAAAATTTGAATATAACTATACAAAATACAATAGAAAACAATGTCATATTTAATTTATAGGTATAATTCTAGGTATTTATTTGGGGGCCCTCGAATTTATTGGGGTCCTAAGTGACTGTTTACGTTGCTTTAAATCCACCCCTGCCTATGCTACATACACTGCAAGTGTTTTTTTTAATTTATTATTAATTTAGCTTTTTTGTAAATAGAAAATGTATTCATGTTGATGGTATAAAAATGTATTCATGTCTGCTAATTGGTTTCTTTCTGTTATACATTTTCTGTTGTATTGTTTTCTGCCAATACAATAAAATACAATTGTTTGAAGAATTTGTTTGCATTCTAATTTTATTCATTCATTTTCTTGTCGGCTTAGTCCCTTTATTAATCTGGGGTCGCCACAGCAGAATGAACCGCCATTTTATCCAGCAAGTTTTTACGCAGTGGATGCTCTTCCAGCCACAATTCATCTCTGGGAACCATACACACACACACTCATATACTACGGACAATTTAGCCTATCCAATTCACCTGTACCGCATGTCTTTGGGGGAAACCGGAGCACCCGGAGGAAACCCACGGGAACGCAGGGAGAACATGCAAACTCCACACAAACGCCAACTGAGCCGAGGATCGAACCAGCGACCCAGCGACCTTCTTGCTGTGAGGTGAACATGCTACCCACTGCGTCGCCCATTCTAATTTTAATAATAGTAAATAACAGATTAATTTTAGTAACTCTACAATTACTAATATGATATACCATTAATGTATTATGCTGTCACCGTGAGCATTTGCACTATATTGCCTCTATATCGCACTTAGTTATCACTGTTGTTCTGTTACAGAAATTAACTGGCAACACTAGACAGTTACTCAGTGTTAAATATCTCTTAAAGTGACCAACTGTCAATAGTGTTAAAAATATCCATACAAACCAAGAAATCCACTCTAATGAGCATGACATAAACGCATACATATTTAACTTAATTGTATCCTTTAAAATAATATCAAATCATAAGCAATCTGAATTAACACTTTAATTATAAATATGTTTGATGGGTCTAAATCTAGGCAAACTGATATCGCATGAGTCATACATCTCTCACTGCACTAATATGCAGTAGCCTATAGCGTAAAGCTACCACAAGGTGGGGCTAGATATCTTTACTGTGACAAGCATGACCTAATCAAACCTTTAAAATGTGATTTTAAATCAAATGTGTTTTGAATATGAAAAATCAAATCCAATTTGAATATCACAATAAATAAATAAACCTAATCTGCATAGTTTACTTAGTTAAGCCTTTTTGCATTTTAAGCTGAATATTGATATATTGAAAAATAACTAATAGTCTGTACAGTGATTATAGCACAGGCAAAAAAAAATTAGTTATTAAATTTATTGTTTTAAACAATATTTTTTATTTTAATTGTTTTTTTTTTTACCTTTTCTACAATTTATCTTAATGCAAAATAATAATAACATCTAAAGCATATTGTAAAACTTTAGAAATGATTTGTTTTCTTAAAATTGAAATGAACTAAAAATAATAAATGAATGTTTTGTTTTTAAAACCAAATCTTTACTGATTTGACTGCTGGACTGGTCCATGATTGAGGGTGGGGGACACATTTGCTCAGATGTAATAGTTATATTCAAATTAAAAATGTTTTGACCCATACCATACAAAATACAACAGAAAATAATGTAATATATAATTTAAAGCCATAATTCTAGGTATTTATTTGGGAGCACTCTGATTTTTTAGGGCCCTAAGTGACTGCTTACATTGCTTATTGGTTAAATCTGCCCCTGCCTGTGATACATACACTGCAACTGTTTTATTTATTTATTTATTTATTTATTTATTATTATCAATTAAGCTTTTTTGTTACCTTGTAAATAGAAATAGATATATGAATAATTAATATTAGTATCACTAGAATATATGACATACTATTAATGTATGAAAGCTATTAGCTAAGCAGTTTCCATTTAGTTACCACTGCTGCTCTGTTACAGAAATTAACTGGCAACACTAGACAGTTACACAGTGTAAAACAGTGTTGTTAAAAAAAATCTTTAGGCTACTAAGAAATCTACTCCAATGAGCATGACATAAACGCATGCATATTTAACTTAATGGTATCCTTTAAAATAATATCAAATCATAAGCAATCTGAATTAACACTTTAATTATAAATATGTTTGATGGGTCTAAAGCTAGGCAAACTGATGATATCGCATGAGTCATACATCTCTCACTGCACTAATATGCAGTAGCCTATAGCGTAAAGC